GCCGGAGGTCGACACCAGATCCCCCACCCCACCTGTCTGACATTCATCCCAGGGGACCACACCTTCATCACCCACAGCCTACAGCCATTCAGGTCAGTCTTGTTTCACTTCATTAATACTAACAGACCATCAAAACTCTGTGCTATTAAACATTTTTTTAGACATTTGCCATTTTGATATAAACAGCAGATGTAAACATTTAAAGATCGTACTTTGTTTGGAAGGCACAGTGCTTGCTGCTTAATTACATGTTTTGTTGCCAGGTCAGTCCAGCAGTAAAAGACACCAGATCAACTGAGCCACATGTCATACAGCTGGGACAGTCTGTCCATGGCAACATGGTAAGCTAATGCAGATTTCAACACATCTAAACCGTAGGATATTTAGTCGGGTGTCTATGTAGATTATTATTTAGTGTGTGCATAAAAATGACTTGAAACACAAACATATTGAAATACAGAAACAGCAATATTTAACTACTACTCAAGATACTGATGAAAAATGTTCTTATAGTGTCTATGAGAACATTTTATAGACGACTTAAACTAATTCATACTTGTATCATTTGGAGGGGATGCGCATATCACCACCAGGTGGCAGTGCAGACCAGTGTTTAGTTTTGAAATCCTGAAGCTTTTCTAAAACTTGCTTCAGCGGATGTTAAGGATGCTGTGATGTATATCATTGTTTTATTTATTTTTGCTTTGTGTTTACGATTAGAATGACTGTAAACTGTTCATAAACAGGCTGTAGTATAATGGTGCAGTGTACACAAATACTGTAAGTAGACAAAGTAGGTTAATATCATGATTAAAAATAAACTGTAGATTAGATGGAGGCTTCCTGATTGTGATGGATGCATACCAGTTTGATAAGCGTGAAAATCATGGGCCAAAGTCTCCTCTTTAATGTTTGTCTTATGATTCCTCAATTCTGCATAAATGGGAAGAAATGTTAATGAAGATGAGTAGTAATGCACATTTTCACAGAACTGAGACCGACTGATTTTGATTTGATTGTGCGGCAAAATACCTCATCCACTGTTACGTCAAAGACTGCACAGTGCTTGATTTTAAATCGAGGCTTTAGATTATTGTGAGAATTGGATGTGGATTTCAAACAGAATAGTTTAAAGGCAGGAAATTTAATTTCTAGACTAGAATCCAAGAATGACTCTTCCTCAATCCTCTGAATCCATTGCATGCATTATTATGCACTAGTTTTAATCACTGCACCATGATGTCACCCAAAATTTATACATGTACGTCAGTTTTATCGTTGCCAAAAATGGCAAGATGAATGAATGTCACACACAGACACAGCTTCTGACTTATTATAATATATCATCACTTTTCAGTGGCTTCTGCAGGTTGTCTTTGCATGAATGCATGTGCATATTTATGAGCATTGAATGAGCATTTACAGCGTGTGAATGTGCTAGTGATTTCCCAGTCGTTTGTGTGTGTTTGTGGTCGTGCTCCAGGGGTTTGTACATGACATGAGTCACTAGTTGTGTGTGTGTGTGTGTGTGTGTGTGTGTGTGTGTGTGTGTGTGTGTGTGTGTGTGTGTGTGTGTGTGTGAGGGCCATTCCTGTTTAAATTGGTTCAGAGCAGGGAGCCCTCAGTGCTACTCCTCCTGTCAGCTCTCATCTCCTGATAGCCATCTCTTAGAAACCTCATCTTTCCTCCCCCTCTGCCTTGTCCTCTTTTCCTCTCGTCTTCCCTTCTGGTTAGTTTCTTTGGTCTCTCACTGTTGTAGATGTCCTCAGAGAGATTTCCCTTCCGCTCTGTGTCCATGTTTCCCCTTCATCGCCCTAATGGGCCCAAGTAAAAACGAAAATAGAGAGAACGAGAGTGAGAGAGTGAGAGAAAATGACTGGGACATGCAAGTTGCCTGAGGTGGCTACATGGGTGGCCCCATGGGAAGGTTGCTATACTCTGGCCTTCCTGCTACCATTGGTAACCTCCCTGTCTATAATTTAGGGCCATCTCCTCTTATCACTTATGCTTTATTAGCTTTTTTGACTAATGGCCTTTAAACCTGCTAGTATTCACTTTGGTTTGCTTTTATTCTGAGTGTGTATTAGTTCCCTGGAGAGAATCTGACTGAGCTGCAAACATTCAAGTGTTTAAGGGGAAAACAACAATGTTATTCACACTTGAATAACATTGTTGTTTTCCCCTCTTTCGAAATATTTTTTTTAACTGGTGAAAATGTTTGTAGTTTTGCAAAAGTGCTTACAAAACTATACAATTCTGCATGATTACCTTCAGGATGTTTGTATGGAAGTGCAGGTGTCAGTAATGACATGATCACTCTCCTGGGGCATCAGCTGTTTCGTCTTCCTCTTTTACATGACTAATTCTGAGCGCTGAGCTAGCAGCACTAGCAGGATAAGGTTTTGAGCAAAAATTCAGTCAGAATCTGGGCCATTCTCTGTTTTGTAGCAACTATCAGCTGACATTAAAAAACTTTGATAGACACACCAGTTTCACAAAATGATGTATCTAATCATCATCAGCTGCCATCTGCTGGTTGTCTCTGTATGATTGAGGAGGCTATAAGTATGAACATCTTGTTTCAAAGTTCTGTTTCTAACATGGTAACTTTATCCATTACGTTTCCGACTAAACGTGGAATTTGTTCAGGGACTGGGTCTCATATTTGTCTGGAAACCACACACTCTAAAAAATATTCATGGTGTTTGTAGATAGAACTTAACAAAAAAGCATTTTTCTACTTAAAAAAGTAAGTTGTCTACATGTACACGTTTCAGTGAGTTGACTAATCAATGTTAAAAGTCAGTGCAACACAGAAATTAATAAACACCTCCTTAACTTAAATGTTTTAGTATATTGAACAAAATACTTTTGTCATCAATCAACAAAAGAAAATATTAAGTTTGTGTAACATGTAAAAGTGAGTTGGAACATCCTTCGTGTTTGAACTGCCCATAACTGGACCATAACGAAAAAATAATTACAACTGCCATAAAAAAGAAGAAACGGAAAAAAACAGAGGTTGGCACCACTACCTGGTAAGTTTCTTGTTTTATACTCTTTTATAAATATGTACTAGTTACAGGAATTCATTGCGTAAGTTTAGTCTGACAATGGCAGCTACATGATGTGAATTGACACTCTGTGTTATGCTAGTTGTTACTCTATAAAAGTAAAAGCATTTGTATTTTTTCCTGTTATTAATGAAATCTGTCAATTAAATCTGTCACTCTGGTGGTTACCTTGGTTAGCCATAGATGTGTATGAGACCATGCATACAGCAGAGGGTAACCCCGTAGCATATGTTCGTATCATCACAGGCGTAGCAGTTGTCTTCATTCTTATCACTTTGTGGGAGTAGAGGTGTGTTTCACCTAGACTGTATTCGGTGAGTTAACTAAGCATTGAATTCTAAATAGATTAATTACAAGTTATATTTGTACACTTTAAATTTGATGGTTTTAATCATAGTTTAACTTTAGCAACTTTACTATGCTAAAGTTGTTAGCTAGCTTTCTTTTAGCTAGCAAACGTTCCTCGCAAATATGAGAGTACATTGTCAATTTTTCCACTTATACTTAAAGTTTGTCACTTGTCAGGGTGCATTTGGTTAGCTGATAGACCTTGCAGACAGCAGAGCATGTTCAATTTGAACCTGTATATGTTCAAATTAACCAGTCAGCAGCTGCCTGCATTTTTATCATGGTGTCAGAGTAAATTTGTGTTTCGACGGTCTTGGGTGAGGTAACTAATTACTGACAGAGTGAAATGTGGGGAATTTATGCCAGAGTATTTATGTGAGTAAAAGTATTTCTATCAAATGTATTGATATTTTAAGCTCGAATGTGAAATATGCCTGAGGTTAAAGTTAGTTGACCTAGCAAGAAAAAACAAAATTGTGTGTGTGCACACGAATTGCTTTCGTTACCTTCTGTAATTGTAAGCATAATGTGAAGTGTGGTATTGTGGCATGTCAACAGTGGTCTTCAAATAATTAAAAAGAAAATTCTCTCACACATATGGATATGACACAATTTTTCCAATTTTAAACTACAGTCTGTAGATTTATTTTATTATTTTTGGATTCATCTTTTCAGTGTTTCATTGTAGTGTTTTAGAGAAGGTTTTATACTTAAAATAACTTGTTTACTCAAAAGCCTCGATAAGTCTTTGCATTACCAAAAGTTGCAATAAATTTCAAAATGCACTGGACTTGCAAAATTTGCAAATTTGAAACACCAAGAAGGAATCAGCTCTTAAAGCATTACAGGCTTAGACATAGCCAAGGTGAACTATTTATGCCTTGTCTATACTGGGATTGTTACTGCTCATTTAAAACATGGAATAGCTTGCGAACCCATTTATCAAGGAGGTAGGAGGTATATTCCACCACGAGTAAAATTCAAAAGCTAAATTCTGTTTTGTTTTTTTGTTTTCCTTTTTATATAGGTACCTCAATGTCTCATCCTGCTAAACTTCGGATCATACTCAAAGAGCATAACATTCGAAAACTGGACTTACCACATGGAATCCCTGGAACAGTGGAAGAACTTGAATCTATTGTGAAAGAGACTTTTGAGATTGATGGGAAGTTTACTTTGCACTATAAGGATGCTGACTTTGGGGAAGAATATTTTTCTCTGACATCAACAGGTGATATCAAGGACAAGGACACACTTAAGGTGGTTCAGATTATTGAACCTCTCACAATTACTCTGACATTTAGTGATGTAGACAGTTCCTTCAAATCTGCATCAGAGACCTTGGTCAATGCTTCAGCAATTTCAGAGACATCAGTCTCAGAGACATCAAGTGTGTCCTGTGGCACCAGTTGCTCATCTGGATCTCAGGATACAGTCATTCTTTCCTCACCTGAACATTTGAGTCGGCGTTTACAGCGCTGGCCTACCAATTTTTCTGTTCCTCGCTTTGCTTATGACACAGAGCTTTTACTTGCTTCAGGAAATGAAACTTTCAAAAAGGATGGAACTAAACTTAACTTTACTCCACTTCTTCCAGACATCCTTGAGAAACTGGCTGAAACGATCTTTCAGTATGTTGCCTACCCAACATCTGCACAATTAGCAGATGTAGCTGAAGCACTTGTTCAACAACATCCTTGCCTTAAAGAACCGGGATCCTATAATGGATGCTATGGATGGCAACAAAGACTGAAATATAAAATGGGCAATTACAGAAGTAAACTCAGAGGGCTTGGGTGCCCTGAGCTGGATGTGAACTCTCTCAAAAGAAAGCAAGCACATGAGAAGACACCTTCAAAGAATCTCAAAAAGCCAAGAAAGGCTGAGGTGAACTATTTGCCACCTCACCCACAAGGAGAAACAGAGGAAAGCTTGGAAAAGGAAAGATTGGAACTTCTTGATGAAGTGAAGAAGAGGAACAACTATCGGATCATCAGTGAAAAAATGGCCAAAACATTCTCGAATCGCAGACAGGAAGTTGTTAATCTGGCACCACCTGTGAATGATTTCAGAAGTAGATGGCCTGCGCTTTTTGATGCAGCACAGGTGATTTTATTAAATAATTTATAGGATAACTTATAATTGTGACATTGTGCATTACATTAACACATTGTGCTTTTAATTGTGTCTTTTTTTTATTTTTTACAGATAAATGATGAATTCCAAAGGATCACCACTGTTAACTTGGAAACAACATTCATGGCAAAACTGGACCAGTATTCCACAAGAATAATGTCCCTGGTCTCTTCAAAAGGCGGTGCTGCAAAAATTAAGATTGAGCGCATCAGGAACATGTTGCAAGAGGTAAAAAAAAAAGAAGCTGAATATAATTGATAATCTTACACACCTTAAAAGTTAATTATCTAATTCATTATCGCAGGAGCATTGTTGGCTATCTTTTACTGAAGAGTGAAAAAGTGAACATTTGCTAAAGAAAACATTACTCAAAATATATTTGTCTGTTTTCTTTGTTGTAAGAGTCAAGGCTATAGTGATGTATTTGTAACTTGGAAACTCAGATTGAAGAGAAAAAGTAAAACTCAGATGCATAAGTATTTTGCACCTCATAAGTGAGATGAAAAGACATTAATGTAACTTTTGGTCACATAATTGCAAACTGAGGTGGGTAAATTTAAATAGGTACTTTCCATGTCACATGTAACTTGACAATACATTAAGGTAAGTATGGGTCATATTACAAATAATGTGAGGAGAAAAAACTGAGGTAATAATTTGGAGTGTTACAAGTATCTTCATCAACTGCACAATAAACGTTTATGAGGAAGACAAGTTACACAAATACATTAAAGAGGGTAGATAGGAGCTTTTAATGTTTTAATCACATCATTACAAGACTTGTCCACAGGTGGCTTTTTCCAGTTCTGCATCACATATCTCACATATAACTATTATAGTTGAATCCATAGAACTCAACAAAAACTGTTTGAAATAGTCTCCAAATCTAGGTTATATTTACTTTCACTCACCTTATCCTACTGCTAGCAAAGGGTGCATTGAAAGCAGGGCAGTATGTAACAGATTAAATTAAAGTTATAAAAATTAAATTGTTTATTTGTTAAAAATTCATCCATCCATCCATCCATTTTCATCCGCTTTGTCCGGGGCCGGGTCGCGGGGGCAGCAGCCTAAGCAAAGAGGCCCAGACCTCCCTCTCCCCAGCCACCTCCTCCAGCTTATCCGGGGGAATACCAAGGCGTTCCCAGGCCAGCCGAGAGATATAATCTCTCCAGCGTGTCCTGGGTCCCGGTGGGACATGCCTGGAACACCTCACCCAGGAGGCGCCCAGGGGGCATCCTTGTCAGATGCCCGAACCACCTCAGCTGGCTCCTTTCGATGTGGAGCAGCAGCTGCTCTACTCTGAGCCCCTCCCGGATGGCCGAACTTCTCACCCTATCTCTAAGGGAGAGGCCAGCCACCCTTCGGAGGAAGCTCATTTCTGCCGCTTGTATCCGCGATCTCGTTCTTTCGGTCACTACCCACAGCTCGTGGCCATAGGTGAGGGTAGGGACGTAGATCGACCGGTAAATTGAGAGCTTCGCTTTTACACTCAGCTCCCTCTTCACCACGACGGACCGGTGCAGCGTCCGCATTACTGCAGCTGCAGCCCCAATCCGTCTGTCGATCTCCGGCTCCCTTCTCCCATCACTCGCGAACAAGACCCCGAGATACTTGAACTCCTCCACTTGGGGCAGGAACTCATCCCCGACCCGGAGTGGGCACTCCACCCTTTTCCGGCTGAGAACCATGGCCTCAGATTTGGAGGTGCTGATCCTCATTCCCGCTGCTTCACACTCGGCTGCGAACCGCTCCAGTGCGAGCTGGAGGCCCTCACCCGATGAAGCCAACAGAACCACATCATCTGCAAAAATCAGAGATGAGATTCTGAGGCCACCAAAGCGAAAGCCCTCCGCCACTTGGCTGCGCCTAGAAATCCTGTCCATAAAAATTATGAACAGAACCGGAGACAAAGGGCAGCCCTGGCGGAGCCCATCACCCACCGGGAACGAGTCCGACTTATTGCCGGCAATGCGAACCAAGCTCTTGCAACGGTTGTATAGGGATCGAATGGCCCGTAGCAATGGGCCAGACACCCCATATTCCCGCAACACCTCCCACAGGACACCCCGAGGGACACGGTCGAATGCCTTCTCCAAGTCCACAAAACACATGTAGACTGGTTGGGCAAACTCCCATGCACCCTCAAGTATCCTGGAGAGGATAAAGAGGTGGTCCAGTGTTCCGCGACCAGGACGAAAACCGCATTGTTCCTCCTGTATCCGAGGTTCGACTAACGGACGAACTCTCCTTTCCAGCACCCTGGCATAGACTTTCCCAGGGAGGCTGAGGAGTGTGATCCCCCTGTAGTTGGAACACACCCTCCGGTCCCCTTTCTTGAAGATGGGGAGCACCACCCCGGTCTGCCAGTCCACAGGTACTGCCCCTGATCTCCACGCAACATTGCAGAGGCGTGTCAACCAGGACAGCCCTACAACGTCCAGAGCCTTCAGGAACTCGGGGCGGACCTCATCAACACCAGGGGCTCTGCCACCAAGGAGTTGTTTAACTGCCTCAGTGACCTCGCCCCCGGAAATTGGCGGGTCATTCCCCTCATCCCCAGACTCTGCTTCCTCCTCGGAAGACGTGTCAGTGGGATTAAAGAGGTCCTCGAAGTATTCCTTCCACCGCCTGACAATTTTCTCAGTCGACGTCAGCAGCGCTCCGCCAGCACTATACACAGTGCAGGTAGAGCACCGCTTTCCCCTCCTGAGACGTCTGACGGTTTGCCAGAATCTCTTCGAGGCAGTCCGAAAGTCTTTTTCCATGGCCTCTCCGAACTCCTCCCACACCCGAGTTTTTGCTTCAGCCACTGCCCAAGCCGCATTCCGCTTGGCCTGTCGATACCTGTCGGCTGCCTCCGGAGTCCCACAGGCTAACCAAGCCCGATAGGACTCCTTCTTCAGCCTGGTGGCTCCCTTCACCTCTGGTGTCCACCATTTGGTTCGGGGATTACCACCACGGCAGGCATCAACCACCTTGCGGCCGCAGCTCAATGCAGCAGCTTCGGCAATGGAGACGCTGAACATGGTCCATTCGGACTCAATGTCCCCAGTCTCCCTCGGAATGCTGTTGAAGCTCTGCCGGAGGTGTGCGTTGAAGATCTCGCGGACTGGGGCCTCTGCTAGACGTTCCCAGCACACCCTCACTACGCGTTTAGGTGCACCAGGTCTGTCCAGCGTCTTCCCCCGCCACCTGATCCAACTCACCACCAGGTGGTGATCAGTTGACAGCTCAGCCCCTCTCTTTACCCGAGTGTCCAGAACATATGGTCGCAGGTCTGCTGATACGATTACAAAATCGATCATCGACCTACGGCCTAGAGCATCCTGGTGCCACGTGCACTTATGGACACTCTTATGTTCGAACAGGGTGTTCGTTATGGCCAAACTGTGATTAGCACAGAAGTCCAATAACAGAGCACCGCTCGGGTTCAGATCAGGGAGGCTGTTCCTCCCAATCACGCCCCTCCAGGTCTCGCTGTCGTTACCCACGTGAGCTTCGAAGTCCCCCAGCAGGACAACAGAGTCTCCAGGTGGAGCACCCACCAGCACCCCCCCCCCCCCCCCCCCCCCCCCGGGACTCTAAGAAGGCTGGGTACTCTGAACTGCCACTCGGCGCATAAGCGCAGATGACAGTCAGGACCCGTTCCCCAACCCTAAGGCGCAGGGAACAAACCCTCTCGTCCACCGGGAAAAACCCCAACGTACCGGCAGCAAGCCGAGGGGATATTAGGATACCCACCCCAGCCCGCCGCCTCTCACCAGGGGCAACTCCAGACTGAGACAGAGTCCAGCCCCTCTCCAGGAGACTGGTTCCAGAGCCCAAGCCATGTGTAGAGGTGAGCCCGACTATATCTAGGCGGTACCTCTCAACCTCACGCACTAACTCAGGCACCTTCCCCACCAGAGAGGTGACATTCCATGTCCCTATTGCCAGTCTTGGCAGCCGGGGGTCAGTCCGCCAGGGCCTCCGCTCCTGGCCGCCACCCGGCACACAATGCACCCGACCCCTATGGCGCCTCCTGCGGGTGGTGGGCCTGCGGGAGGATGGGCCCATGTCTCCTCTTCGGGCTGTGCCCGGCCGGGCCCCATGGACTAAGGCCCGGCCACCAGACGCTCGCCCTCGGGCACCCTCCCCGGGCCTGGCTCCAGGGCGGGGCCCCGGTAACCCTATCCCGGGCAGGGTAAACTGTTCCCTCGATGTCCTTTTCATAAGGGTCTTATGAATCGCTCTTTGTCTGGTCCCTCACCCAGGGCCAATTTGCCATGGGAGACCCTACCAGGGGGCAAAAGCCCCCAGACAACATAGCCCCTGGGATCCCTGTGACACACAAACCCCTCCACCACGATAAGGTAGCGATTCAAGGAGGGGTATTTGTTAAAAACAAAAATGAAATCAATAATTAGCAAAACGCTAGTCCTATAAATGTAATATGTTTGACTTTTCGCCTAGTAAACTTTTTTTATTCTCCAGAGTTTGGTGGAAACAAGAAGAGGGGTCGCAATCCGTTGCCTGATGGTGTATCTGAAAGAGAAAGAAGAGGATCTCTTCAGAGAACAGCTGGTAGGTAAATACCGACATGTTTCTTTTTAACCTACTTGCCAGGATGGTGAAGAACAGTTCCCAGAAGAAGTGGTAAAGATCGTAGTCACCAGACGTGCAGCAGTGTCTCTTCCAGCCGTCGCTAAAATTGTGATTGAAGGAACAGCTGTCCTGGAAGACCTTGATGTGCCCAGAGCGTGTGCCTTAATGATGGGACTTACAGTGGGGCAAAAAAGTATTTAGTCAGCTACCGATTGTGCAAGTTCCCCCACTTAAAATGATGACAGAGGTCAGTAATTTGCACCAGAGGTACACTTCAACTGTGAGAGACAGAATGTGAAAAAAAAATCCATGAATCCACATGGTAGGATTTGTAAAGAATTTATTCATAAATTAGGGTGGAAAATAAGTATTTGGTCACCTCAAACAAGGAAAATCTCTGGCTCTCACAGACCTGTAACGTCTTCTGTAAGAAGCTTTTCTGTATAAAAGACACCTGTCCACAGCCTCAAACAGTCAGACTCCAAACTCCGCCATGGCCAAGACCAAAGAGCTTTCGAAGGACACCAGGAAAAGTATTGTAGACCTGCACCAGACTGGGAAGAGTGAATCTACAATAGGCAAGCAGCTGGGTGTGGAAAAAATCAACTGTGGGAGCAATCATCAGAAAATGGAAGACATACAAGACCACTGATAATCTCCCTCGATCTGGGGCTCCACGCAAGATCTCATCCCGTGGGGTCAAAATGATCATGAGAACGGTGAGCAAAGATCCCAGAACCACACGGGGGGACCTGGTGAATGACCTGCAGAGAGCTGGGACCAAAGTAACAAAGGTCACCATCAGTAACACACTACAACGGCAGGGAATCAAATCCCGCAGTGCCAGACGTGTTCCGCTGCTGAAGCCAGTGCATGTCCAGGCCCGTCTGAAGTTTGCCAGAGAGCACATGGATGATACAGCAGAGGATTGGGAGAATGTCATGTGGTCAGATGAAACCAAAGTAGAACATTTTGGTATAAACTCAACTCATCGTGTTTGGAGGAAGAAGAATACTGAGTTGCATCCCAAGAACACCATACCTACTGTGAAGCATGGGGGTGGAAACATCATGCTATGGGGCTGTTTTTCTGCCAAGGGGACAGGACGACTGATCCGTGTTAAGGACAGAATGAATGGGGCCATGTATCGTGAGATTTTGAGCCAAAACCTCCTTCCATCAGTGAGAACTTTGAAGATGAAACGAGGCTGGGTCTTCCAACATGACAATGATCCAAAACACACCGCCCGGGCAACAAAGGAGTGGCTCCGTAAGAAGCATTTGAAAGTCCTGGAGTGGCCTAGCCAGTCTCCAGACCTCAACCCCATAGAAAATCTGTGGCAGGAGTTGAAAGTCCGTGTTGCTCTGCGACAGCCCCAAAACATCACTGCTCTCGAGAAGATCTGCATGGAGGAATGGGCCAAAATACCAGCTACTGTGTGGAAACCTGGTAAAGACCTACAGTAAACGTTTGACCTCTGTTATTGCCAACAAAGGTTATGTTACAAAGTATTGAGTTGTATTTTTGTTATTGACCAAATACTTATTTTCCACCCTGATTTACGAATAAATTCTTTACAAATCCTACCATGTGGATTCATGGATTTTTTTTTTCACATTCTGTCTCTCACAGTTGAAGTGTACCTCTGGTGCAAATTACTGACCTCTGTCATCATTTTAGGTGGGGGAACTTGCACAATCGGTGGCTGACTAAATACTTTTTTGCCCCACTGTATATACGCTCTCAATCTGAGCTACCCCAAACAAGTAAAGAACACTCTAGAGGTATTCCAGGTGTTTCTGGAACTTGATGGGCTTAAAGCCAGCCCACGGGTAATGTCTCTTAAGTACAAACTTCTGTCATAAAACAAATGTAATTTAGGCTGCAATATTCAGATGTGCTGATGCTTGTGTTTTTTATGCAGTCTTAGACAAGTGTAGTTTTGAGAGTTCATAATGCGTATAACCTTACCTTTGGATTGTTGCGTTGTTAAATATTAAAATGTTTTGTAATTTTCTTGATTCTATGATATTTACCAAGTTGATAGGTTAAAGTTAATGTTTAATAATAAGCAGATTTGCAAAAACAAATTGCCTTACGTTGCAATGTTTGTTTTCTGAGGTATTTTAGAAGGGTGTGATTTAAAATTATTGTTATTTGGAAGATTTTATAAATATATATTTGCTGCTTTATTTAATATACCTTTACAAATCTTTATAGTGGTTCTCAAAGTCAGTCATCAGGCCCCACTGCTCTACTTGTTTCTATTAATAACTAAACACTGTTGATTGGATGGTGTGTTCAGTTAATCAGAAGTTGTAGACACCATTGTGGAGTAAGAAAAACGAAGTAAATTGGCATGTTTTAGCTTCTGATTCAACCTTGTAACATGTTTATTACCTGGACATTTTCTTTTGTTGCTGAGGTTGTTTGTGGAGGAATTGTACTGAAATACATTGTTTTTGCCCACTCATTTATAATTACAGGGCTGCTGTAATGTTTGATTTATGTTGTATGACACAGAAGTGTATTTCTTCGAAAATGTTATGCAATAAACTGTTTCATCAGTTGGAATAATTTAAATGGCTATGTTTGCAGGTCAAAGTAAATCATGTTGGTTTGTTGAACCAGTTGAGTTAGCCAAACCTAAAAATTTCTTGCTAGATTTACTTAATAATATGCAAAATTTGTAACTTAAAAAGCTGAGTGGAAATTGTTACCTCAATTTTTTTAAGTTAAGCCAACAAAACATTTTTTAGAGAGGTCACTAAGAGGCCTCTGGTTTTGTTGTTTGAAATATACAGCTGCACCATGCAACTACCTTGCATGGTGCAGCTGTATATTTCTACGTTTCTTTAAATGTAGCACAGTCCCTCCTTGCGTCTCTTATAGTTAAGTGGAAATACAGCGCAAGATATTACATGGAGAGTTTTACCATCCCATTGAACAGATTCCAGTCAGCAGTAAAAGAAATACAATGAATGGCAAATGTTTTATTAGTTAGAGGTGGGAATCACCATACATCCCACGATACGATATTATCACAATACTTAATGCACGATACGATATTATTGCGATTTCTTTTTTAAATATCTGCGATATTCAGATTCTGTACATAAAGGTAAACTTTATCAATATTCATTTTATCTAATATCAAAGTCTCGCACTCAGTCTTTCTCTCATTTCAGTCAGTTTTATTGTTGACAAACTGAACGGTTTGTATTACAGTCTAGTCCAACTTAACTGAATGCAGCCATCTGGTATAGCTATTCTGAACTATGCAATTTATGAAAACTATGCAGCCCATTCAGCAACTGAAGAATTTGAAAGTAAATTAAAACAAAATATAATTTTACATTAAATAAAAAAGTTTTAAACTTAATTAAAATAAAACATGTCTTAAATTAAAATAAGTAAACTGTCATGTTTATTGCTGCCAAAAAACAAGTTAAACACATTTGGACAGTGAAGGAATGTCAGGATTCTTGCTCAGAAAAAGGAGCTGATCAACATGCTCTGAAGTCAGAGCACAAAAACTTTTTTTGTAACAAAATATCGATTTCTGCTGTCCCTGTATCGATACATTATTAGCAAACAAAATATCACGATACTACACAGTATCGATTTTTTTCCCCCACCCCTATTATTAGTTAATCGAAAGCAGAAGGTTTGATTTGGTTACTTGTGCCAATTCTAGTGTTCCTGCAGACGTTAGCAATACCAGTTTAAACAGACAAGGTGTCCTCTACTAACAGGCCGCCTACCATCTGTGTGGGAATGTGCCTCTTTTGTAGCCATGTATGGTACACTTCTATGTGAATAAGTGTGCAGTATTGATAGTATGTTAATTTATAAGGAACATCTGTCAATTCTCAACATGTTGGCCATGTGCATTTGTGTGATTGCATAGAACACAGAAGACCCTGCCTCTCTACAGTCCTCTCTGGCTTTCTGTGCAGGGGAAGTACAGGATATTGGATGGCCCGGAGGTTTAGATACCAGATTTAAGTGCTGTAGAGGAGAACACGAGTGACAAGACACGACGGAAATGAGCTAAAGATAGTAATGGGTGGAGGAGGGGTTCACTTTCCACCAGGACACAGACTCCCAGAGGCTGCATAACAGCCTCACATTCACACATACCCACACACAAATACACACTGCTGCACTTGGGCAAACGTGCTCTTGTACACTTGGTCCAAGCACTTTCATTCATACTATATCCTCCCATAGTCTGTTTGGTTCACACTGTGTTTTACTCACATGGTTATGAAGGGATATACTGATAAAAATGCAGGAATATAGAACATTTATGCACCTAATATAAATTTACATGTAATGATTATTTGATTTGTGTGATTTTATGTAATTTAAGAACTTTACAGGTGTGCAAATTTTTGCCCCTTAGGTTGCAGTTTTCACATTTTTACAAAGCACTATTCATATGTAAACTAGCACTGTGTTTAAAATGAAACCAGTGTCCAGTGTTTTTAAATACATAATGTATACAGGAGCATTCCTCTTAAGAGATGAGCTAAAAAGATTTAAAATCGTATACTGACCTGTTTTGTGTTTATTAATTTTTATTTTATTTATTAATTTATATGTTTTGTTTTTAAATGCTGTTCTGTCTTCTAGTCAGTAAACCATTAATAGTCATAAAATTAAGGAGTCACATATTTAGCCTTGAGAGGCCAAATATGGGCAGCAGTTTCCCTAATGCAGCTCACAGAGTGGAGCACAGTCTGTGCAAGTGAAATATTACTTAAGGCTTCCTGAGCATATGACGACTCCATGCAGTCACAGCGGAACCCCTTCTTCAGACACTGTACACGTCACATAATGCTGCGAGACTCCCCATGGCGCTTCCAGTCTATCCGATGCTTGCATGTAAGTGTCCCAAAACTTGATCCTCCTCATCAAAAATACAAGAGAAAGGCAAGCCTTATTACTAATTCACAAGGTTCTCTCTTCAAGTTCACATGTCTTTTTCCCCTCCTCTCCTCTTTCCCTCCTCCCTCTTTCCTTTTTCTGCTTGCCTTTAATCTCAACCTTGCGCAACACCGACTTACAGGAAGCACTTTGTGGTGTCCTCCAAACAAAGAAACATTTTTTTGTAA